GGATATCACTACTCTTAAACAGAAGATCATCGAGAAAGACGTTCCGATCTAAAACCTCGATATTCGAGTTTCCAAGCTTGAAAAAGAAATTTCAGAAGTCTAAACAGATCTCCGATCTCCAGCTTAATCTTGGTGCCATATCAGTAGGCTACTTTGACTTGAAGAACAAGCTTATTGCAGAATTTGGTGACAAGTTCAAGACCACAGTCGAAGAGCCTTATGCCACTACAGTGATCAAGTTTCAAAGTAGCAATTTCGTTATTCATCTTGTTGATGCTAAAGATCTTTTGTAGTTTACGAAGCGAGACATACACACCTTGGTGATGCTGATTAGGAAGACCTGAGTTTATGCTAGCCACAAACCAAGGGGGAGATTGTTAGGTCATAATTATGTGGTTTGGGCTAGGCATCCATATTGTATAGGTCTTGGTGAGATGTTAGAGTGTGTTTTGGTGGTCATAGCATATTAGTGGGTGTGTGTGGCCATACATGTGTGTGCGGCTGCACACTTGTGTGCTGCTACTTGTGGTATAAATAGACTGTATTAGTGTGTGAGAATTAGTGACGTATGTATGTGTGTCTTTCAAGGTGTCCTTGACATTTGTGCATAATAGATGTGTGCATGCTTGATGTTATTCTCATTCTACTCCTTCTACACTCTGTTTGATTGCTTGCAATTCATTAATTACTGATTTGGATCTCTAGATTGGGACTTACAGTTATAAGTTGGTATCAGAGCCTTGGTTTGAGGGATTCGATCACACTTTTGGGTGTATCAGAACTTAGACGGAGGAATTAAGTGAAAAGAAAAATATTTTTTAAAAAGAATTTTAAAAAATGGGTGTTATGCGTGCAATCGGCTGTACTCAAGTATATGTTCCCAAAATACCCATACATGTTTATTTGAATCAGTATATGAATAACATGCTAGATTAGGGCTAAGGATATGCTCATAATTTTATGTTAGGAGAGATGCCTTCGTATTCTTATGTATGAGCCTCTAGAACTACATGCTAGTATGGATTACATATGATATGCTAGGATGGTCTATTAGGCAATGCTTTAGTTAGAACTTGATGCTCAAATGCTACTTGCTTTGTGCTTTTAGGAACCACTGCTAATACTATTTAACTATCAAGCGAATATTCTAGGTTACATGTTACAGAAATTAGATAATTTTAGAAGGCTAGGTTTAACTTTATTGTGTAGCACTTGTTTGAGTCCACCCATTGTTGTGTGAAACCTTACAGTCAAATAATTATCTAGGGTATGTTACATGTAATTATATTCGTAAGGTAGTGGTAGGTGTTAGTGGGAGTTTCTTCTACAGCTGATGGCGGAGTATGGTGGGAAAGGAATCCTAGGAGAACCTTGGAAGAAAGTTAGCTGAGCAGATACGTTATTTAGCAGGAATGTAGAATGTTAGGTATGGGTGTTACTTAGGGGGTCGGGACGACTCTTGAGGAAAGTACGGATAGGCGTGGAAGGTAGTATTGGGCCCGTACTATTGAAAGTACATAATCCGTACTTAAGTCAAGGGGAATCAGAAAGATGCTAAGGAACTCGCTAAGTGTGAGATTATTCTAGTGTTTTTTGATGGTTTGCATCGTTTATTTTCAATATGGTGGTCACTCGAGACGGTTTAGGTTCTGGTGAGGGATCGGGTTCGGGCTCTGGACTCGGGCCCTTGGATGATCTGATGCAAGAGTTCATTTTGTCTGAGATTACCTGCAACATTATGGAGCAGACTTCTATGATATTTGGTTTGATTAAGGAGGGCATTATGGAGTTGATGGATGAGCATCTCAGCGCCTTCTATACTGAGATGGTGGCCATGGTGGGTGCATGCTCTTTTACTTTTTGAGAGCTTCGTGCATATGGGGTTCCAAATTTTTTTGAGAAGAAGGGCCCCATTGCTAGCAAAAGGTGGTTGGCGGATATCGGCAAATGCCTTCCGATCCAGCCTCTGTCCTGAAGGGGAAAAGGTCAGACTGGTATCCTGTCTTCTAAAAGACAAAGCACATGATTGGTGGGGGGAAGGCAGGCTATGCCTTGGGAAGAGAGGCGGTTGAGGCGATGACTTGGGACGACTTTGTAATGAGGTTCGAAGCGGCTTTTACACTAGTAATCAAGGTCCAACAGCTAGCAAGAGAGTTTCAAGACCTCCGTCAGACTATTGTGTAAGTGACAGAGATTATTGCCATGTTCCGAGAGAGGGCTTTGTTGGTTTTGCAATATGTATGGGACGAGGAGATGAAGAAGGCCAGGTAGCATGATATGTTGAAGGATGTGATACAGGAGTTTGTAAGCATGTCTAGCTACAAGAAATTAGAGGACATGATGAGTAGAAGATTGATCTGGAGTCAGTGAGGAAGAGGAAGCCGGTTTAGGTTCACGTGTCGGAGGGGTCGGGCAAGAAGCCCAAGGTTTTTGATTCGTGATCTTGAGGACAGCACGGCCAGGACCGATACGGTAAGTGCAGGAAGACGAACGATGTCGTTTGTAGGATGTAGTTTGATTATAGTTTGATATGTTTATATTTTTTTAGTTTGCTAATTGTTACTTTAGTATAGTACAATGCTATAATGGAAAAATGAAAAAAAAAAAGTACAATGTTATAATGTATATGCAATGTGTGTAGGATGTAGTTTGGTTATAATTTGATATGTTGGTATTTTGTAGTTTGGTAATTGTTAGTTTAGTATAGTACAATGTTATAATGGAAAAATGAAAAAAAAAATTACTTGGAAAGAACAATGCTATAATGGAAAAAAAAAGGATGATATAATCATCATGACCTTAATTTGTAAAGTAGAATATTATTATGATATGTTGATAATATATTTTGCTTCTTTGTAGTTGGACATGCTGCAAAACAATGCTAAAAGACCAGACATGTAGTGCGGCACTGAAAGAGTAGTTTCAATCGTTGTCGCCACGAAATAAAGTGAAGGAAACGAGTGGAGTGATGAGGAGGAGTAGCTACTTTTAGGATTAATGAAATGTTTTGTTTGGGTTAGTATTTTAGACTACTATTTTGGATATGTTGCATTATGTTTGGGTGAATATTTTGAACCGGATGTTAGGATTTAATATTTTGGATCGGATGTCATATATATTATTAAGTGGTTAATGTTTTGAACTTTTTTTTGCAAAATAATGTTTCGTAGCAGTTTTTATACTTGTTATAATGTTTTTTCTGATTTTAATGTTAAATATTACAAAAAAAATGATAAATACAATTAGCGGCGACACCTTTAGTGGTGACGGACGTGTATTAGTGGAGACAAGGCTTTAGTGGCGACGACGGATATTAGGGGAGACAGGTATTGGAGGCGACATATGGAGCATTTGCAGCGAGGCAACCGCGATGACCTTTTTGGTCTGTCGCTGCTAATACTCGCGTTTCTGGTAGTGTAAGGTAATTCAAAATGCTACAAAAGAGGAAAGGGACCTCAACAAATTCATATTGAGGGGTTTGATGGCCCTACATTTGCATACATCTCGCTTTAGTCCAACATCAATTCAGGCTTTCGACTTTGCTAACTTATCATATTCGGATATTATACTTCCTCTTATGGCTAACTCACAATTAAAATTAATAGTAAATGTAATATCAATGGTAAAGTTATATTTTTACCAAGGTTTGACAACAAATTTAAATAATCTTAAGAACGAAAAACACAACAAATTAAACTATCATGACACTTGAGTTACAAATTCTAAATGCATATCCAATCAAACCACATGGATTTGTTTTTTCTTCTTTTAGTTGGTTTTGTTTGAGAACCTTTGTAGTTCAATTATTACCAATAGGACGACAAATACAATCTACGTGACATGAAACAATACAAAAGATCAAACAATTACCATGGATCGTAAAATTAACGAATTATTATGGTTCACTTTCGAAGTGAAAACGAAATATGCTTTATGGGTGAAGAAGAGAACAATATCATTGTATACCCTTGTTCTTATATATTTGTCCTATATGCTAAAAAGATATTGTAGCACTATATGACACAAGTACGAACTCACACCATCTTAATGTAAATACTTCTATTTTATAAAATCAACGTCCTTTTCTTGTCTGACTTAAGTGGTGGACTTATAAGGCCTATAAAGAAATATTAATAGCATTTATTTTAATATAATGTATTTTTACTTATTTATTGTTGACTAGTATTATAAATTTTTTTACTAATAATCATTTACTTAAGGACAAACGAATGAGTTTTTTATAATTGTATTCGGCAGTTCCTTACACTTACACATGAGTTATTATCATTCACTTTGATAACACGAGGATGTAAAATTCGTTAGATGGTACTAAGTCAGTCGATTAGAGACTAGAGAACACTAAGTGTAATAGGGATAAATCTATTAAATTTAAAAAATTAAATATAACTAATATCATAAAAAAAATTGGTAAATACCAATAATATCATAAAAATTAGGTTAATATAATTAATATAGCATTAATAGTTCATCAAATAGTTTGTATTAAAATACGAATTTTTCAAATTGTTAAAAATCCCTCATCTTTTACATATTCACTCTTTGCTTAGAAAAAACAACTAGAGAAAAAACAACTAGATAAAGATTAATTGCTAGATGTCTTCTAACCAACCACATTTCCAATACCATCTATGAACTATTCAAAAAAATTAAGTAAAGCATGTAACTTTTTTTTTTTTTGGAACCACAAATAATTATAACCATTTTACTTATAATTTGAGCATAAATAGTCATTTAAAATTGTTGATTCTATCGTACTTCGATTTTTTTTTCGGTATTTAAATATGCATAGTAATTACTTTGTAGCGTAATCACAGATACGATAAAGACGTAAGTTTTTAAATAAAAATTGTTAATTCCTTAATCAGACTTCTTCAAATTGGAAGGGCCGGCAATTGGCTTTAGTAAATTAAATATTTTGATTTTTCATTAAAATATTAATTCTTACTAAAAATGAACACAGTATTTGTGATTTAGCGTAAGTTTGGTGTAGTTTCTTATTCTATTCTTTCTATTCTCCGAAATCTGGAAGAACACTGAACATATAATCTACCAAAAATCATAAAAACTTTCGTTTCCAGAATTTCTGCACAAAAATCTTAGTTCAATGACACTTTCTCGTACAAAAACGATCCCCATTTTGTTCCTTTTCGTGTTCATCAATCATGTTTTAGCTAAAAACCTCACAGATGAATGTGTTCTTGACGTTCAACTTTCTTCGGACTGCAAAACTGCTAATTGGGATGGATTTTTCAGCACCGATTGTTGCGAATCAGCTTTTGAAGAGTATCTATCCGCATTATCAAAACACACGAATCAAACTGGATCGATTTTCTTGAATTTGATACAACAACAAACTTGTCGATCATCGTTGGAAGGTAGCAACGGAAGAAATCTTTTGAGCTGCGGTGTTGAAAAGCTAACCTCCGGTTCCGGAAGCTGCTCGGATTTCACGCTGAATGATGTTGCTAACAAGCTCGAGAGCTCTTTATCCAGTCTAGATCAAGATTGTGAGGTATTGGAATCAAGAAACGACTGCAATTCTTGTTTAGAAAGATGGAAAAAGATTGGTGGTTTGACTACGAACAGTAGTGTGGAAGAGACTGAACTTTGTAGATTCGCTGTGCTTGTTTCGATGGTGAGTCGAAAGATCTCTGATTTCAAATGGGTTCAAGCCGTTTATCAGTGTCTTGGCCAGCATCAAATAAGTTTTCGATTAGATCAATCCCAGAATCTTGAAGATGATAATCATAAACACAAGAAAAAGCGGACCACTGGTGAGTTATCTAGAACACGTATTCAAGTGTAAGATTCACACTAATCATCGGATAATTTCTTGAAAATTTCAGTTGTGGTAATTCTGGTGGGAGGTCTGATCGGGATCATGATCATAATCATTGCATTGTGGATTTGGTTTAGAAGATCAGTCGCCGGAAAGTTGCCAATGGGCAAAGTGGATATGTCTGTCATAAGGTCACCATTTCCAAAAGAAGTAAGCACGAAGTTAACAGTTAGGGATGTTTATGCCGCTACAAATGATCTCAAAGCATCAAACTTTATCGGTGAAGGAAACGCGGGTAAGAATTTTACTGTATGATTCATCAATATTTAGGTTGCTTTTGTTACACGTGACATGATATTATAAAATGTTGTTTTCGATAATGAGGATGTCATTAACGTTTTTTCAGCATAAGAGATAGAAAACGAGTCCTTTCACACATAATTAAAACTTTTTGGTGCAACTTTTGTCCTGTTGATGTTGGTTTCAGTCCAATGCATATCAAATACATTAAAAGTTTTCTATCTGTAAGTTTGCAATTTTTTAATTGGAGAGGGCATTCATTTGTGAAGGGAAAGTGTACAAAGGCGTACTTGCGAATGGTCAAAATGTTGCAATAAAGCACATTGTGAACGATGGAGAAATGGAAACGTTTGTGCGGGAAATCACGAGTTTGTCACACGTAAGACATCCAAACCTCGTAAGATTGCTCGACCATTGTGAGGGCGAAGGCGAGTGTTTTCTCGTTTATGAGCTTTGTCATTGGGGAAATCTTTCAGAATGGCTATTTAGTAAAGATAAAGTTCTCACATGGATCCAACGTCTTCACATCGCAATTGATTGCGCTCGAGGACTATGGTTTCTTCATACATATCCTGGAGGATGCATAGTTCATCGCGATATAAAGGTAAGTGTTTTGCTTTCGATTTTTGGTTCTTATGATGATTCTTGTTGGACTCACACATCAACTTGACATCATCATATCTATCTGCATATATGTTGGATTCTTACATCTCTCCTTGAAGTTTGTATTGGAAAGAAAATCAAGGACTTTGTATATATCCAACAATTCTAATGTTTTTATATTAAAAATAATTTTCAGCCAACAAATATCCTCTTGAACGTCAACTTTCAAGCGAAGTTAGCAGACTTTGGTTTGTCCAAAATCATCGATACGGGTCTATCTCATGTTAGCTCGGAAGTGAGGGGAACATTTGGTTATGTGGATCCCGAATATCAAAAGAATAGTCGTGTGAATCCATCTGGTGATGTTTATAGTTTCGGGATAGTGCTTTTACAACTTCTTTCGGGGCAACGAGTGATCAACATAGACTTACAAAGGCCAATGCCACTTGGGAAGATGGTAAGATTCTTCCCCAACATTTTAGATTCGTTATAACGATTATGGTTAAATTTCAGTTTTAATGTTGATTAGGCCAAGATGCTAACAAGGGATGGGAGTATGACGGAGTTTGCGGATCCGAAACTTAATGGGGATTACTCATTTAAAGCTTTTGAGTGTATGATCAATCTAGCGGTTTCATGTATAGGGATGAAGCAACAAAGGCCATCCATGGAACAAGTGGTCACAGGAGTTGAAAAGGCTCTTGACATTTCAATACGAGATCGGTCACTTACACCTTCATTTTCCTCGGACACTGTCTAGATTGAAAAGGTCATATGCTTAGGCCCTATTTATCTTTTCCCATTAAGTGTTATCAGGGAAATGATTTCTAAACGATATTTAAGAATATGAGACGATTAGAAAATGAAAGGAAAGAATTTGTGATGGAAAAATTGTAAAAAGATAGATTTAATCAGAAAAGTCTTGTATCCATGCCTTTCTCTAATAAGTCGTTATTTATACATTAAGTAATATATGTAGTTTCAGAGGATCTACATGTATTTGGTTAGCAACTCATGTGAATAAGGTTAAGATTAAGGTTAAGGTTGTAGCTTCGAAACTTGAATGGCCCAAATGAAGTTCATTTCCATTATTTTCTGTATTTGTTCATTTGTTGTTTAATTTAAATTGATATTTATATCAATGTCATAGCCACAGTATTATGAAAAGTAAGAATTGTTGTATATATGTCCATTCAATGATTCAAATATAACGCGTACTGTTTTCTTTTTACTTTTTACATAACCACTATATATGTTCCATGACTTCGGAAGAAAATTATTGGATATGCCACTTGGCTATTTGCATTAAAAATGTTGATATTAACTCTATTAGATCAGAAAAAAAAAATTACACCTTACACAAGGTAAAATGTGCTTGTCTATTCACATAAAGAAAATGATAAATACAATCGTGAAATATTCGTTATAGCTTCATACAAAAAATAACAGAAGCTATATATGTGATATTAGCTCTTTAAAAAACCAAGTTAATGTCACGAAATTTACATGTACAAACTACCATACATCTACAAACTGTTCTTGGAAGCGAATAGGATGTCTAGTGCCCGAAGAAGCATTCTTTTCGTTGAATTCATGTAAAATTCTGATCAACGAACTCGCTTTCTTACTAGCACGAGAACCACCGGTGAGGAGGGAATATAAAGGTCCCATTAGAGCCGAGTTCGATACTAAAACATGAACCACGTCTCCCCCACCATTTGTGCACATTGCAAGCAACAATGTAACACAATGCTCTTTTGCAGCCCTTGATGATGTAGAAGCTACAACATCAAGGATAACATGAAGAGCTCCACAACTCAAAATCGCCATTGTCCCATCGGATTTTTCAGCCAAAGTGGCTAAAATGGCAAGAGAATCTATTAACAGTTCTTCGTGTTGACACGGAGATCTTAATAGATCAACTAGCAGCGGGATTATTCCCGCTGCTAGTGCTTTCCAATGATTTTCGGGGTACATCAGTAGCCCGAAAATCGCCACCAGTGCGTTTTTTTTGCATCGATTCGTACCTTCTCGGACTAATTCCATTAGAACTGGAATCGATCTCGGGATTTTCCCGATGATGTCCCGATACTCGTCTACCGAAGCAAGATAAAACAAAGTACCCGCGGCGTGTTGTCGGGCTTCCATTCTTAACCCATTTTGTGCAACCTCAAGAATTAGTTCTAACCCTCCGTTTTCGACAAGTACTTTCTTTGTTTTTGAGTACTTTGAGAGATTCAATAACGCCGCAATCGCGTTTTCTTGAATCTTAGGGTTCTTAACACATAGCAAATCCAATAAACTCGGAACCACACCGGATTCAACCAAACAAGCCCGATTAAAAACGCTTGTTTTACTAAGCATTCGGATCTCGTAAGTAGCTTTGTGTTTAACCTCATTTGTGCCAAACACTAAGCGATCGATCAAATATTCAACCGACATCTTTATGGCCGCCTCTGCCGCCACACTGCCGCCGGTGTCTGTATTAGTAGTGTCCCGATTGCGGTTGCTATCAATGGACTCAGTCACCGGAATACCGTTTTCATGACAATATTGCTTGATGATACTTCTTATACACAAATTTGAAACCAAATTGCTACTATTTACCTTCTCGCCGGTTTTTGGGCAGGTTAAATTGCCTGACCGGAACCATTTCTCAATGGATGATCGATCGTATGTGTGCCCGGTTGTTAAAGTCACCGGATCTGACATGATCTCTAGAGAAATCGGACATCGGAAATCATCAACGTTCAATGATTTATTCAAATGACTGGAAGTGCTTTCGTGAGTGTCGCCGGAAATCGTGAATCTCTCTATGTCGACGGTGGTGAAAACCGTGCAACGGCTGTAAATCATGAGCCCCATCAAACTACTGAGGATACCAAGATCCGATTTCTTGGTGGTGGATCTTTCCGACCTAATTTCCGAATCCAAGAACTTGATTTCTTTGTTGCATTCAGTCCAGCTCGAAATACCCAAATAATCAAGAACCCGTTTCAGATTGTTCGGATCCGGAACCATTTGATGCTCCAACTGGTCCAAAATGGATGTCAAATGCTCCAAGACTCTTTGATCTTCGGGTCGGAACCCAAGTTTTGAACTCAAGACTTGATTCTTTACCAAACCCATTAGTTCTTTCAGTTCAACTGAAACATGAATTGAATCTAACGGCAGCACGTCAAAAACTACAGTAATGGATCGAAAAATGGCCCGAAACTGATTGGATACCTTTTCGGATCGGGTTAGCATCCACATCCGGGCGTCAGATTTTGTGCAATCTTCCAACAAGAACCGTAGCTTCTGGAACACGTAATGGAGCTCCGAGAGTGAAAGAATCGTCGCGCCTGACAGACCCGTTTGATCTCGTCGGATATCTTCGAGGAATACGAGGATATTCCCGACAAGAAGAAGGGAATCCTTCGCATTTCGAGCATTGGAGTAAAAGGGTTTTGATTTGTATGAACATATGGTATCAGAAAGGGTAATCAGAGAGGAAAGAAGGGTCGCCGGAGACGCTTTTTCGCATGGACGAATCGCCGGAGAAGTTAAAATCCGGCGAGTATGTGCATCACACATGTTAATCGTTGAAGAAAACCAAAAACAATGTAAAAACAACGATAAGCTAACAATTAACAAATCAAAGTTTGGGTTTTGCAGGATTTACAAGAAGATTTGAGGGAAATGTGGGGTTTTACTGTTTTGGATTAGAACGAAAAGGGCTTTGAAACTCTGTTTTCTTTTGTGGTGTGTAGAATACGTTCAACTACATGGCTATATATAGATCGGGTGTGTTCGAAGTTTGTGGAGTGGACACGTGGTGAGATTTGAGAGGGTTATTGATCATCCACGAAGTAGATCTAATACGTTGAAGACTCCAACCACGTGAAGCTGTATGGGAGACAAAAAATGGCGGCTTCGTGGGTACTTCGAGGTTTCAAAATTTCAATGCAAGAATTCAAGGTACGTGATTGGGTAGCCGACACAATATGTTATAAAACCGAACCTCTATTATGGATATTCACACTTTAAGCCCCTATAATTCTCATAGAGATTTGTATCGACCATAGATGCATTTGCTCTAGAATTAGAGGTTTTTTTGGTACTTCTTAATTGTAAAATTAAGAATGTTCGGTTACATATTAATAAAAGAGTTTTAATAATTTAAAATCTTTTAAAAACCTTTTAAACTTTCAGATTTGGATGTCTATCTGAATAAAAAAAAAAAAGATAATAAAATAAAAAAACGTGATTTCCCTTTTTTTGCCTTCATGTGCACGCATACCTCCATCAAAAACACCCCCACCTTCATGGCTTCAGTAGATCATCTTTGTTCTCCTCCAACCTCCTACTAACTCCAACTACCTCTTCCCATCACCGACCACGCATAGCACTGTTGACTCCATCTTCTCCCCACCCAGTTGCGACCTCTAACGCTAAGCCCTGGCAGTGCCACCCTCGACAATGCCGGTCTCCACCCTTGTTCCTTCGCTAGTATGCATCTGCCTGCCTTGATATGGTTATGGAATCAGATAATTATGGAATGGTTCTAGGTAATGTTTGTTCTTTTTTTTGCCCTAAAAATCGATTATTCTAGAATTTTTATGAAATCAGAGCCCTAAAACTCAATTATCAGACGCTGGTGGTTGGTTGTGTACCCTAAAAAACTATTTTTTTTTTTTTTTTTTTTTGCACAATATGTGGATGATCTTTTGTGTTATTTGATGGGTCAGAAGTCTAAAAGTATACAAACTTTGTTGGTTTAATGATGTTATTGATGGGTTTTGGTCATAAGAACATCCTATGTGTTCATATAAACCCTAATGCTTGGATCTAGGTTTCTCTATTGTACATGCAAGTTATCCAAGACTATAAACCCTAATTCTAGCATTCAAGTAATCATATTAACACAAGAATAGGTTTAAGATGCTACCTTGATTGTTATGTAGCAATAACAATTCAATTCCTCCTTGTATTGACTTTAGAAGGCTTAGAGTCACAAATGTCACTCCTCTAATGGTTCACAAACACCAAGAGCAAAAGGATGAAGAGGAGAGAGGATGGAGGCTACCAAAACTCGTGTGAAACCCTAGCAAGAAGCTTAGCCACGTTTTTGGTCCTTAAGGGATCTATATATAGTGAGGCAATTAGGGTTATCTAACAAGGAAACCCTAATCTGGATGCTTAAGCCCTAAGCAACCCATGGAGCCCTTTCCTTAAGGCCTTGGACGATTTCATATGGGTTTCCCCCATAGAATTCGTCCACCTTATAATATAAGGCAATCCATGGCCTAAATTGTAAATATCTTATAATTACAATTCCAGTCCCTTAAGTTTAATTAATCTCTTTTAGTCACAAAACTAATTATCAATTAATTATTGACTAATATTAATTAAACAATATGATTTCTCCTTTAATATATTATTCCCATAATATATTAATAGATCATATTTAATCATTTCTCTCCATAATTCATCCTATCAAGTTGCTTTGGTGAAGGCAACCCAAAAGGACCATGCACCATCGGGTCAAGTACATACCAAAATAGTTATGGACTTAGACACTAATCCAACAGTATCCCACTTGGATAAGTCTAATAACTATTATGCGTATGATTTCAGATCCTGATCTGCAATCGTAGCTTTCCAAAGCCGTTGTCAACTCTGGTCATATCAGATACGCGTGTCCTTAGATAAGGGATCATATATTCCTCCATTCTAGATATCGTATGAGATATGATTTCTAATCATTCTCTTTGTACTATTTCTTGATTTCCGATTTATGACGACTGACTAATTGACCAAATCAAATTAGCACTAGCCCGGCCAAGCATTTACGTTTGTCATCACTAAATCATCGAGGGGCCCAAAGATATCGCTTTTATTCTACTTTGAATAAAAGGAACGGATAAACTTTGATACAATGCTTGCTTGCACTCACGAACCAAATCACACACAACAATATGTTTTATAACACCAAGTTACTAGTGTCTTTACATATTATCAATGTGCAACCGATTTGCAAGATACAACTCACAAATCTCGGTTTCAAGAATATAAGATGTTACCGTCTCACCAATCACTCGTGATACAATTCATGGAGTGATCCAAGTGAGCGTGCGTTTAATCCAATGCTCAAATTCATATTCATAAGCAC